CACAGCATGGTATTCAGGCCTTCATCTCCTCAGTCACAGGTCCTGCATACACTGACCTCCCTGCTAACAACCAATAAAAACTATTCAATCATTAATGCTCTTCAAAAAGGGTGAAATAAAGTATTTAATCTTTCCATCTTGATATCTGGCTGCCAGCTGTCTCTGGGGAGCTTTGGGACATTTTGAAGCTGATCTTTTCTCCTACAGCTCAGAGAGTTTGGACTTGTCGATGAAGGGGAAGGAACAAAATATTGATGAATCCTAATCTCTGCTGATCTATTCAGCGCTGATGTCACAAACAGATGTTTTCTTAGGCAGAAGAAGGTCAGCCCTGCTCTGATTAACATCTGGAGAATGTCCCCCTCTTTCCCTCTGCACACATGCAGGGTTAAAAAAGCGTCCTCAGCAGGCTCAGTGATAATCCTCATGCTCATGAGTCACATTTCCCTGAAACGTAATGTGCTGGCGGTCCATGGAAGCAGTGATTTAGCTGTTACACAGGGGGTGGAGATGCAGAAAGCACAGACTGTTCCTGCAACCGTCCTGAGTGTTAGGAAGAATTTAGTGTGGTTCTTTGTCAGTAAAGTCCCTCTGCTCTGGATGTGGACGTATTTGAGGGACCCAGCAGACATCCAGCCCAGGCAGGTCTGTAATCAAAGCAACCATCTAGAGACGCCACAGCTCCTCCATCCTTTAAGGCCACGAGGTCTTCTGTTCATCTACTGTTTTCAGTTCATTCCTTGGATAATTACTCAGATGTTTGACCCATGCAGGTCATTATTCATGCAAATAAAATCCTTCACCAAACATGGCTGCAATCAGCTGCTTTGAATCTGCAGAGCTCGACCCGAAGCTAAAGAAAAGCCTATTTGCATCCGTGTGGGAAGCTGAAACAGCTTAGAAACACAGAGGAGAGAAGCGGAGCGGCTGCTTCATGTTTCAGAGCTTTAAGAGAACAAAATCAGAACTTGAATGGATGCAGATCCAGGTTCATGTGGCGACATCGCAGTCTAACCGCTGACCAAGTCTCCTCCGGCCAAGCCCATCAGCTGGAAGCCATTTTTAGATGATTTTCAATGTTTAAAGCCTCCTTCATGCAGGCTGTGACCCTCAAGACTAATGAACATGTGAGGATGTGCAGAACCATCATCAGCAGAGGTCCAATCAAACGGCTACATGCCACACATTTATACTTGAACACATAACTAAAATAAAGCTTTTATTTTATATGTAACAAAAACATTTCAATGTACAGAAAATAAGCAAACTTTCCATTTATTTTCAGAGCTTGTAGAGAGAACACAAAAGAAATACGGATTTGTTCTGGTTTGGTTATAAGATAAAATTCTAGATAATTTAAACTTAAATGAAAAAGCAGACAATGGTAGAAGTGCTGGTGTTAGTGGAGGTTAGTTCAGCGTTTGACATGTTTTTTAATCCCATGTGGCATTCCCCAAGGCCCCATCTCGGCCCCCTTCCGATTCAGTATCTCCATGCTCCCTCTAACTCAGATCTAAATGAAAATCCGTTACCATAGCGATGCAGTAGACACCCAGCTGTCCATTACCAGGTGATTGTGAACCCAGCTCTGGGTAAATGCAAAGAAATCAACACATGGATTAATAAAATGTTCTTCAGCTGAATGAGAACTAAACTGAGGTGATACATTTGGACCAAAGGAAGAGTGTCTAAAAGTTAGAACCCAGCTTCAGTAAATCCAAATAGAAAGCGGTGATGAGGTTCTGAATCTGCGTGTAGTGATGGACCTGAACCTTCAGAGGCTGTTATAGAGACAGGAACAAAGTTGGCCTTCTATCACCTGAAGAACATCTCCAAGATTAAAGGAGTAATATCACTGCCAATCCACTTTATTTATATAGCACATTTAACAACAAAAAAAGTTTCCAATGTGCCGTACATAACAAATAATGAAGAACAACACAACAATAAATAAACTAAAAAGGACACAGAGGACCACACAAACTACACCTTGTTAAAAGCCAAAGAGTAAAAGTGGGTCTTAAGACGAGACTTAAAGTCCGTATATGGAGGGGCAAAGTATTCCAAAGTCTGGGGCCAACTACAGAAAAGGCTCCGTCCCCTCAGGTTTTAAGCCTTGTCTTAGGCACTGTTAACTAAAGATGGCCCTCAGACCTCAGAGGACGTGCATGAGAATAAATCTGGAGGAGATCAGTGATTTATTGAGGAGCCGTCCCATTCAGAGCTCTAAACACAAGCAATAAAATCTTAAAATCAATTCTAAAAGGAACAGAGATCCGGTGCAAAGGCGCAAGAAATGGTGTAATGTGTTGATGTGAAAAGAAGAGCCGCTGCATTTTGGACCAACTGCAGACGGGAGAGAGCTCGGTGGCTAATGCCTGAATAAAATGCATTGCAGAAGTCCAGACGGTTAGAAATAAGAGTGTAAAACCTGCTCAAAGAGGTTAAAAGATAAAAACGGTTTTACCTTAGAAAAAAAGACGGAGATGATAAAAACATGATTTTAAAAAATGTGTTTATTCAGTTTAAAATCGCTGTCCATGGTGACAACAAAGCAGGTTACTTTGGAACGCACAGAATGCTTGAAAAGGTCCCAAGTCAGAGATGGAACTTCCAAACACCATCACCTCTGTCTTGCTCTCATTAAGTTTCAGAAAGTTTTTTTGACAGCCAAGCCTTGACATCACCCAGACAGTCAAGAAGGGGTGTCAGGAGGCAGTGGCAGTCATCAGCATAGAAATGGTACGCTATACCATGTTTGATAAAAATCTCTTTTAGAGGAAGGAGGTAAAGTGCAAACAATAAAGGTCCCTTGAAAAAAATTGTATTCAAAGGTCTGCCTTAAAGTGGATCCAGACAGCAGCAGCTGATCCAGAATGCTGCTGCCTGCATCCTCACTATAACTAAGAAAGTAGAGCACATCAGTCCGATTCTGAAGTCCTTCCATTGGCTCCTCATGTCTCAGAATAGATTGTAAAATCCTTCTGTTAGTGTAGAAATCCCTGAATGGCTTCGCTCCAAAATACATACAGACTGGTTGGCAGTGGATCAACAGCCAGACCTCTCAGGTCCACTGGATCAAACTGAATCTGCAGAACCAGAATCAAACATGGAGGAAAAGCTTTTAGTTCTAATCTGGAATAAACTCCTGGAAAAGTTCTGAAGGCCTCACCTGCTTTAAATCCTGATTATAATCCTTTTTTTTTGGTTTATTATTATTGTTGCCTTGATCCAAACATTAGCAAAGTTTTTAGTGTAACTTTTCTTTTTCTAATCAACCATTTTATTTTCCCAATTCTGTTCTCTTTGTTTGTGTTGCCTCTTTGTCACTGCAGTCTACTTTTCTTTTTCATATACAGCTTTTTTTTTGTTTTTGCTGCTGCAATGTGCTTTATAAACTATACAAAAAAACACATTTGTGTATAAATGTAAGTAAAAGTAAAAAGTCCTCAGAAGAATACTCAAGTACACAAAAAGAGGCTGCTACTTAAGTACATTAAGCAAGTATTTATACTTAGTTGAACTCTGTGTATGAAGGAACAGGTAACGTCTGGCTTAACCCTGAACCTGATCTAACTTGCTGTTTGGCAGAATTAGTTTGATCTGTTAGAAGATATTTTATTGACGGTTTCATTTCATGCCTCAGACGAGTTCACAGTGTCGTCCTCTGAGCAGGATGCTGGTGCTTCAGGTTCTGACATGTTAGTGATGAAGCAAACACTGAAAGACATTCATCAGAACATTGATCCATCTCTGCTTGAACAGGTAAATCGTTTTATGGGTTCAGAATGAGGATTAATCAGCTGTTAAAAAATGAAGAATAACATTTTTGTTTAGTTGTGTGATAAACGACCAAATCATCCTATTTAACAAGTCTCCCCGTTTCTGAAGCATCGAATTCCAGAAGTGGCGACTGCTCTCGATTTCGTCCTTGAAAGCATCAGCAGAGCCACGCCCGTGTTGTTGGAAATGTTCTTGACGTCAGAGGAATGTGGGCAGACATGTTGGACAGCGTGTTCCTGATTCGGATGTTTCTGTTTTTCCTCCACCTGAGCACGGAGGTAAAGCTAAACAGCCTGCAGGCAGCAGGTGTGAAAACAATGACTACATACCTGACGAAAATAATAAAGTGAAAAATAAAAAAGGTCATTGCAACATTATAAATAAATACTTTCATCTTTATTTAAATATTGTATAGATTTCAATTTTCCCGCTCTGCATTCAGCTGTACAGGGTATTCTCTCACACACACACACACAGACAGCCAGGTGAGGATGACGAGAGACAAACAGGAAGAGAGTCGGTGCAGCTGTGACTCATGAGGTGGATCCAGACCGAGTACGAGAAATAGATGGTCAAAGAGAACCAATCCATTTACCTTCAATCTGCCTGCTAAGATCATTTATAAATGTCGCCGTCAGTCTGAACCCAAACAATCAGCGAAAAATCCAGAACTTTTACTCATCACTGCCGATTGTCGACATGAAAAACACTGCAAAATGTCAAAAAAAAGGGGTGATGCCGTCGTCTCTATGGCTGCTTCACCGTTTCAGAGCGTCGTAATGCGAATGCGACGCTTCACTGACGTCTCACTGAGAGGAAACAAAAGCTGCAGCGGGGGAGGGGGATGACGAGTGCATCTCTAGAGAAGGGAGGGGAAACTGAAGCAGCGGACAAAGTTACAAAAATACGTTTGGTCATGTGACCAACACCAGCTTTGTGCGTTTAGGGCTGCCAGGCTGGGGAAGCCCAGTGGATCCGGAGCGGTCTGCGCCTCGGCATCCATCAGACTTCACCAGCCGCAGCCTGAAGATTAAAGGGAAATAGCCACATACATCGCTGACCTACAAACAGTCCTCCCTCTCAGTAACAGAAGAATCTGACGGCAGAGGAAGGCAGGAGCTGCTCGTCTGCAGGATCTCACCAGAGCAACCTGCCAGGCGTCTTCACGTCACATTAGCAGCGGTAAACTACACCGCTGCTAACAGTCCAGCAGAGTGTTTCAGTAGATGTGGAGGAAACAGAAGTGGACATCATTCCCGTCCAGCAGGAATAGAAGCAGTTCATCACTTCCGGCGGCGGACTCCCCTCATCCCTCAGAGGCTAGTCTGTGTATTCTGCCACGATGGACAGCAGCACCGTGATGTCGTCCGGCTTTCCTCCTGCACAACCGCAACACAGAAACCGGTTAGGATGGAGTGACCAACGTATAGAAATAAACATGTTGCACTTCCCTGGAAAAGATACGACTAAAAAGATACGAGTTATTGCCACTTAAAAGGAATTTGGCATGGTGTTGATGGTGCAGCCTAATATAATATATACAGAATACAAGAGCAATAGTTATATACAATATAAAGGTACAATAAACTATATACCATATATAGTATATAGCTATGTACTATATACACAGTAGGCTTGTCGTTAACATAAAGCAGGAGGTGTAGATGCTACATTGGTAGTGTCAGGTAGTGTCAGTGTCAAGGAGGTCTCTGGCGCTTTTGCTGCTACATCTTGCACCTTTTCCAAACCCGTCCTTGCACCTTTATTTCAAATCTGGGGACTTTTTTCTGTGTAAATAGAGACGTTGGCGACATAAAAGTACGGAACTCTGTCCTGCATGAGATGATCACATCCTCCCTCTGTCTGCCGTCGTCCTGCAGAGCAGGCTGCAGCAGAGTAAACCTTCCCACTTGGAATCCAGATTGCCAATGAAATGCGGATATGCTGCTAAGCCCGCCCTAGATTCCAAAGTGTTATCATAAAAAAAAAAAAATGTTTTAACCAAAAGAGTTGTCTCACATTTAGGGACTGCATTTTCGATTTACAGCCTCCTTCTCTCCCCTAGTCAACAAGTGCAACGTTCTTCTTCTTCGTGTCTTTTTTTGTTCGCCATCTGGCAAACAACTAATGGTGCATTTACTTAACAATTGCAATGAAGTGTGGATCTAAATGTCTGAATTTTATATTTTCTTTACTTTTTTGTAAAAGTCTCTATAAAACTCTTCATATCCCCACGTTTCTTCCTCCCTGCTATCCCATCTCTCTATGCTGCTTTGACAGAAAAAAAAAAAAACAATTGTAGGGATTCAGAACCTCCTGCAGATGGATGACATGAGGTATGCAAATTAGGTGATGACATCATCTAGAGCCTTCTAGGACAGCCAATAGCGACTTTTCTTACTGGGGAGTTGGCAGCACTGATTCCTTTGTGCACAAAAATCGCTTTGGGGTCCGAAACCGTTCAGGCAGAAATCTCACCGTATGGAGGGAATTTTGTTCCATTATTGTTTAATCAAAAAACATTTTGTAAAGGAAAATTTGCAATCCAAAAATTAAAATTTGAAAAACGTTTTAATCAAAAGCGTTTGAGAATAACTTTGCTGTTTTTTTTTTAGATAGCATTTTCAAATTATTTAATTTTCAAAAATGTTCAAACTTCATATTTTAAACATATTTCCTATTTTCAATTCTTATTATTCAAATTTCTTTTTCAGATGGATTTTTACAAATAGCATTTTGTCGTTGCTAGCGTCCAGCAGACCAATCAAAATGTTTATTTGCTCCCCATTCCGGAGGAGAGCCCGCCTCCAGAAGGGAAGAAAATGTGATCCCAAAAATGAAAGTACAATTTGTAAAACTCATAAGCAAAAAAATTTGAAAAAAAATATATATATATATATATATATATATATATATATATATATATATATATAAAAAATATAATAAGAAAATTTTTGAAAAACGTAAATTACTTAAAAATCGTCTTTGTTTGCAACAATAATGGAACAAACTTCACTCTGTGATAAAGTTGAAAGACCATGAGTGGAAAAAAAAAAAAATGTCACCAAAGAAAATAAAACCAAACCAATAAACAACGGGACTCATGACCTGCTGTTTGAGCAGTGATTCCAAACGGGAGATACTTGGACCCCTAGTGGTCACCGAGTGCATTGCAAGGGGTACACAAAAATATTTTATTTCTCAGGTAATACCCACTCTGCAGAATCTGTTAGTTCAATCTCTAACGTTCTGCTCTCTCTGCTTTTTTCTCATAGTAGCTTCATCTGGTCTGTTCCTGTTTGGCTGTGACTCCATCCTGGAGAGAAATATCAGCTGTGCTGCTGCCATCAACACCTTTATTTCTAGATGTTGGAGCTTGGCCTGTTTTCCAGTGTAGTCCTGTTTCTCTGACTGTGACTAACTGGATGTGCTCTCCTCATCCTCTGACATGGGAGCTGGCTCGGAGCTCCTCTGCCTGGCTGTGTGTTTCATGGACGGGGCCGCCTGTGGAACTGGTTAAAAGTTGCCTTTTGTATCTATGCTTCTTTTTCTATGTCTGCTTCTGTCTCCTTGAACCCAGGTCGGCCTCAGCAGATGGCCGCTCACACTGAGCCTGGTTCTGCTGGAGGTTTCTTCCTGTTCAAAGGGAGTTTTTCCTCTCCACTGTTGCTACAAGCATGCTTAGTGTGAGGGATTGCTGAAGAGTCAATGAGTCGATGCAATCAGCTGGTTTTCATTAGATAGAAAACTTTGAAACAATCTGACTGGATGATCTGGTGAACTGGAAAGCGCCTTGAGATGACGTGTGTTGTGAATTGGCGCTATAGAAATGAATTCATAAAATAAAATAGAGCTGGGATCTGTTCTACTTTCTGAGGACCCAACTAAAAACTAAAACAAGCTTTTTTTAACCATAAAGTACGTTAGTTTTCAGTTTGAGTTCACCTTCAGCTTTGACTCGCATCCAAACCAATTATAATGGAGTCACTCAGAGGAGCTCCAGTTTTATAAATACAGATTTACGTTGTTTTTTTATTCGAGTTGGAAAGAATCAAATGGAAAAGAATTAAATGCTCAAGTTAAAAAGATAAAATGCTTTTATTTTATAATCAGTTATGGTACGTTCCACTTTTGGGTCATCAATACTTTTGACTGAGTGGACTGACTTTGTACAATATAAAATAATAATGTAAGCTTGGCTTACATTATATAAGGAAGACATTTTAATATTATTGTTGAATACTTCAAAGAGGACATCAAGCCAGCTTTTTCCCCGTTCAAGATCAAACCGGTTTGGCCACAAAGGAAGAGTGAAGGTCAGATATATAACTGAGCGGCTGAGTTTTAATACACAACAACAGCCTCCTAAACTCTGCATCCAGGCTCTGCTTTCTGCTGCTGAGACTCGTTAATACAGCCAGTGACTGCAGTTCAGTCTGTAGAGTAACTTTAAACCTCGTAGGAAGAAGCTTACCTCTGACATTCAGTCCGTTGTCACAAGCAAACTGTGCAAAAGGTGACATGTAGTTGGGGTCATATGCCAGAACATGAGCTTGCTCTGCAATGCTGCGGGCCGTCTGCTGAACACTCTCATAGTTGGAGTTCTGAGGAAAATGAACGAAGGGAGCATAAAGTTTTTATCGCTTCGATTCAGAGTCGGCGACAACCGGCCAAGCGTCGGTCATCACGTACCTTCAGCTTTTTCAGCTCTTGGAGGATCATATAATCGGGCATGTTGTCGAACAGCCCGTCGGTGGCGGTGAGGATGATGTCACCGAGCTGCACGTCGAACGAGGAGCTGTCTGCAGATTCTGGGCTGAAAGCACAAAGATTCAATTATGCAACGCTGTCGGTTTTTAAAGGGAATGTGATCAATAAGCATCAGGAAAGCTGAGAAGCAGAAACTTTGATCTTATGACCTCATGTCTGCCTCACACCTCCATGTTTAGACCTGGAGCTGCTCTGCTCCTCTGGAATCACACCAGAGTTTACGTTTCGTACGGAAACATGACGTCACGTGGAGACGTGACTTTTCACCATGAAATAATCCTACTGGATGGTAGAAAGGAGAGCCAGAGCCCTGCAGTGTCAGATTTGCTTCTTGGAAGATGCCCCCCGCTATGGCAAGCCGTTTCAACATAAATTTGGTTTTGTCTGACCATCCATAATTACATTCCAGATATCTTAAAATACATTTTGACTAGACAAAACCACATTTTGACTATCTGGAATGGTAATTTAGGATAGCTGTATTTACATTTTGATTAGGAAGAGTAATAGTTCAAGATATCTTAAATTACATTTTGACTAGTCAAAATTCCTTTCAAGATATCTCAAATTACGACACCTTATTTGTCATTTAAAGCGTCACACGCTGATTTAACTTTTCCTGCTTTGGAGTAAACGGACAGTAAGGAATTTTTTTAGGAATGATTCTCCTGGAAGCCCATTAAAAAGATAATGACACAGTTTGACTAGTCAGAATGTCAATTTAAGATATCTTTAATGGAAAAGCTGAATAATTCAAGATATCTTTATTCATTTATAGATATCTTAAAAGGAATTTCAAATAGTCGAAATTACAATTCAAGATATCTTTAAATTTGCTTTGTCTAGTCATTATTTGCTTTTAAGATATCAATAATTGAGTTTTCACTAGTCAAAACTGCATATCTCCTATCCTAAAATACATTTAAGATATCGTGAACTATGGTGTCATTTGAGATATCTTTAATTAGAATTATGACTAGTCAAAACTAAAATCAATATATCTTGAAATTACTTTATGACTAGTCGTAATTTAATCGTAGATATCTGAAATGTGTATTTCAGATAGTCAGTAATTCATTCTAGATATCTTAAATTGACGTCTCCATACAAGTTAATGGTAAATCTGACGTCATTTCGACCAGTCAGAATATAATTAGAGATATCTCGAATAGGTATTTTGACTAGTCAAAATATATTTTTGGGATATCTTAAATCGCTAAAACGTCTAGTCATAAAACAATTTGAGATATCTTGAATGTAAAGGTGTTATTATTTATGTTAAAATGGCTTGCCATACCCCCCAGCCTCTGCGCGGTTATAAATACAGTTCCGTATAAAAGGTGTCTGGACAGCATCAGGACACGGCGGGCCGGCGCTCCCAGGAACAGCCCGTCCCGTTCTGCTTCAAATATGGAGGGAAAAGAAAGAGCCTGACTGACCTTAAGGCTCCAAATGTCCCAGAAAGGAACAGGATGATTACTAGACTTCATTTATTCCTATTTCATGAACATCCACTGAGGAGGAGCCAGTTTTCAAACTGTTAGAAAGCAGCTGAATTTGGCTCCATTAGGGGTAATAAAAGCCCACAGCCCGCCTTCCTCTGCACTTTACTTTCTGCAGGTTTTCTAAGAATCTTAAAATAATCCAGTGGATTAGATGTGAACCGGTGAAAAGGTGGCTGAGCTGCAGGCAGCAGCACTGACCGGACTCAGCCCACACAGACTTTGACCTGGGTAAGAGGGAAAGCTTGGCAAACATCCTGAGCTCCACTGACGTCTGCGGCGCTGCTGCTTGGCACGCCACAGCAACGAGAACCGGCAGCACGTGGCCCCCTGACCCAACGACTCATGTGGGACACGCAGGCGGGACTAAAAGCTCTGCAGACCAGTTTGTTTCACATAATCTCCTCCGTCAGGTTTTTTTTTTTAAATAAAGACTGGCTTTGTTAGCAGCTTCATGAGGCCTGCAGCCCAGAGAGCAGAGGATTAAAAGCCCCACATTTGAATGAAACGCGAAAAGACAACAGTGCTGCAGCTAAACATCATGACTGTAAAATTATTCCAGTAGCAGTATAAACTGTTGAAAAACACTTTTAGGTATTAGAGTATCATCTTAAGCCTTTTACTCAAGTAAAAATCCCATTTGTAAAACTACTTTAACTATAAAAGTAATGAGCAAAAAATGTTAATGACAGAGGCTTTCCTGCTCTGCCCTATTAAAGGATTCTTTTCAACAATTCTGGAAAATAACTTCCTTAGACTTCATTTTCTTAGTTTTATAACAAATAGTAGGGATGCACGATATAATCGGCCCCCTATCGGTATCGGCCTTAAAACTGAATATCGGACATCGGCCACCCCACCGATATTTAACCCGATATTTGATCAGCTTCTGAGTTTCTAAAGTCTAAAAAAAAAAAAAAAATACTTCTTCTTCTTCCTCAAAAACTTCTTTTTTACAGACTTAAAAACTTCTAAAGACGAGGGAAAAAATATTGATACATTAAAATATCCCAATATCTTCATATGCTGATATATTGCCATTTAAAAACACCATATCAATCTCTTTTACTAATGAAATATTGCTATATGTCATCGTTATGCTACGAAATCCCTCGAAAATTTACGAAATTTTGCCATATTTTTATATGTTGTTATATAGACGCGGTATCGATCTATTTTACTAACAAAATCTCACAAGAATTTGCAAAATATCACGAGAGTTTGTAACAGAATGATGAAATTTCACGAGATTTTGAAAGTAAAATAGATCGATAGATCAATTTGATAACAGCATATGAAAATATATTTGAGTATATTATTTTTCAAAGTGTCAGAAATGGATAACAAAACTGCTATTTTCAATGACTACTTATTTTTGTCCAGCTTTAACATCGGTATCGATATCGGTTATCGGCTACATGAGTTTTAAAATATCGGATATCGGCCAAAATCCCAATATCGTGCATCCCTAGCAAATAGTAACTGTCACATTTAACTTTGCATCATCTTTTAAACTATTTATTTGGGTATGTGGTGAGCAACAAGTTGGGGCAGCACCGAGTCCAACCACAAAGAAATTAATTTTCTGGATGAAACTTATTATATTGATTGTTTTTAAATACCAACAGGCCAGAAAGAAAATGAGTTTAAATGAAACAAAACTAACAAGCCTATCTCTAAAATGTAAGGAATAGAAAGTAGAGATAATTGCAAAAAGTAGAAGTCAAAAGTTGTCTAAAAAACAATATTTACTCCAGTAAAGTATAAATAGATCTGCAAAAATTCACTCACCTCTGGCAGGTTCAAAGTGAAACTGCAGCTTAGAGAAAGCTCTAATCTAACCCCGATCAGAAACAGCTGCTGGTGAATAAATTATGATTCATGAATCCATTTTTTTCCCCATTTCAACACGACAGAAACACCAATAAAGGCTGTAGAAAAGACGGATGGAAGCAGCCAGAATTCTTAGTCTGTTCCTCTTCAATTAAGATAAACATCATTTCTGCTTCATGTGTAGAAAGAGATTCTGCTTTTACATTTCCTTGAGCCTCATTTGACCAGAGCAGTGACGTTTTCAACCTTTAAATGGTTCATTTTTTTCTAATTAAGAGTAGCTAACGTTCACCGCTCCTCGATTTTAATCCTTCTACTACATTTCTAAGAGAACACCAAGCCGACCATGAGGATGTTTTAAGGTGGAACAGCTGGATTCAACCCTACTTCCAAGACAACAATGAGCCGCTTTTGCCGAGTTTAAAGATAAAACATGTTGAAACAGTTCCTGTTTACATCACAGCTCGTCTCACCCAACAGGAACTGATGCTAACTAACTGCTGTGTGGTTCGGCTCCCTCACCTGTCGCTGAGCACGGCTCCTTCGGCCCCTGGGGGGGCTATGGACAGCTGGAAGGGGGTGTTGAAGTAGTGCTGCTGTTCGTCCGAGCGGTGGACCACCTCCCCGCCTCGGACCACCAGGAAACCGGAGTCTCCCAGGTTGGCCGTGTGCAGCTGGTGGCTCTGCCTGTCCAACACCACGATGCAGGCCGTGCTGCTACCTGCACACACATTCATGAAAATAATGCAAATAAAGCACCAGCTGAAGGTAAAAGCAAACATTTCTGGAAGCTCTTTAGTTTGGGAAGCATAAACTCCATGCAGATGTCTTTGAACTGTCATCAGTGACGGTGTAGGTACCAGATCTGCTCCAGTCCTGCTTCATGCCATGACGTTACGCTACAGGATTGGCTGAACGTTGCAACATAATGTAAAACATTGTGGTTGCCCAGGCAACGATAGGAACATCTTGCAGCATCAGTGTGCCGCGTCTGGAGCATCTGCAGTGAGTTTAGACCGATGAAGTTTTACCTGATTAACAACAAACCTGAAAAAGATCTGTTTATGTAAATAAAGTTGTAACATAACCACTGTGTTATTTTCTCTAAAGGACATTAAAGTGTACTGATAACAAACTGTCTTGTAGAACAGTTGGTTTATTGGTAATATTATTTAAAATCTCCACTGGTTAAAAGATGATGATGGGAATTAATATGCTGGGTTATTTTGGTGTGGAGAAATGTCTGAATAAAAAGGGCCGTGTGCGACGGCGCGCCCGGCTCGACAGGTGAGGAAGACGCGAACTGACAGGTCTGTGCAGCGGGAGTTTTTGTCTGGTTGTCTGTTAAATACAAGACAAAAAATAAAGAAAGAAAGAAAGATAAAACACAGCCAAAGATTGTCCCAGCGCCGCAGATTAGTCAAGTAGAAAACTGATCGGAGTTTACACCCAGAGGACGCCGCCCAGGGGAAAGAAAGACGCTCCGGTGAGATCTGGACCTTAGTTTTCTTTTTGGGGATATTTGGTGGCACCATTAATTTTTCGTTTTGGAAAGGACTTTGGACTTAAACGCTTCCAGGATTTTACTTTGGGTTTCGGAGCATATGGAACTCCTGTTTGGACATTATTATTAAAAATAAAAAGAACGGACAGTTTTGGACTTTTAGTTATTAGTAGGGATGCACGATATTTGGATTTTGGCCGATATCCGATATGCCGAAATTTTAAAACTCATGTAGCCGATAACCGATATCGATACCGATGTTAAAGCTGGACAAAAATAAGTAGTCATTGAAAATAGCAGTTTTGTTATCCATTTCTGACACTTTGAAAAATAATATACTCAAATATATTTTCATATGCTGATATCAAATAGATTTTTAAAAACGCGGCATCGATCTATTTTACTTTCAAAATCTCGTGAAATTTCATCGTTCTGTTACAAACTCTCGTGATATTTTGCAAATTCTTGTGAGATTTTGTTAGTAAAATAGATCGATGCCGCGTCAATATATCAACATATAAAAATATGGCAACATTTGGTGAATTTTCGGGGGATTTCGTAGCATAACGATGACATATAGCAATATTTCATTAGTAAAAGAGATTGATATGGTGTTTTTAAATGGCAATATATCAGCATATGAAGATATTGGGATATTTTAATGTATCAATATTTTTTCCCTCGTCTTTAGAAGTTTTTAAGTCTGTAAAAAAGAAGTTTTTGAGGAAGAAGAAGAAGTATTTTTTTTTTTTTTTTTTAGACTGATCAAGCTGATCTAAGCTGATCAAATATCGGGTTAAATATCGGTGGGGTGGCCGATGTCCGATATTCAGTTTTAAGGCCGATACCGATAGGGGGCCGATTATATCGTGCATCCCTAGTTATTAGGGCTGTTTGTTTTGTTTTTGCAGTTGTAAACTGAGACTTTGAGTTTACTTATAAAATGGTTGTGAAGGGTTTTGGGTTATTAATCTTTTTGTACTGAAATATCATTGAATGAAACTTTGGATTCTTGGTAGTAGTGCGATTTTTTAAATTTTTTTTTTTTCTTTTTAATAAATCTTTGTTTGCTAACAAAATCAACATAATCCTACTAAGTAGTTGATTTTTTTTTCTTTCGTCTCAGATTTATAATGTAACACTTATTGCCTGTTTTCCTGTGAAAAGTATTTGTGAGTTCTGCTTTTAATCAAGCTGAATTTTACAAATTAACTGTTAGACCGTGATATAAAGGGGTGAGCCGTGTGGCGCTGTGGCTAGCTGTGCTCAGTAGCTAACAGGTTAGCCTCTTTTAGCTCGGTCAGTTAGCCACATCAAGCTACACTACTTTTAAATTTGTGTCAACAACCGTTCATTTTCTACAAGTAGAATACCTGTTTTATCCGTCTAAAATCTCTACAAATGATGTCGCATTTAGGCTCTTCTGCCCTCAGATCTTAATGGAATAGTACACCCAAAACATGATTAGCCTTCATTTTCTACTCACCCCCATGCTGAACAACACTCTGGAGTACTTTTTTGATATCTCAAATGCATCTGGAGATCTGGGAGGCTTCTTGCTGTCTGCTGACATTCAAATAATGGAGGTCTATGGCGCCCGAGACAGAAAGGTCCATAAAAGTACACAAAAAACGTGTCAATATTCCTCCATACTGCTCGTCCAATGTATTCCAAGTTACCTGAGTGGGTAGCGTCCATAATTTACTCGAAAGCGTCTGCTCTGCCGATAATGCAAGCGTAGAAGAAGAAATGTGCCGTTTACCTGTGCAAAGAAAGAAACAACGAAAGAAAAATGTCTGAGGACTTCAGTGTTGAGGAAGAGCATGAGTTCTTTGCCGAGCTGAATGCGCACTTTCATCTGGTTTGGTCTGCCGCGGTTTCCGTAGACTCGTGAACGTGCTTTTAGGAAATCCTATACACTACTGTTTATGCTCTAAAAACATTCTAAATGACTTTGTTTCGAGTAAATTCTGGATGCTACCCACTCAGGACACTTGGAATACATTGGACGAGCAGTATGGAGGAATATTGACACGTTTTTTGTGGACTTTTATGGACCTTTCTGCCTCGGGCGCCATAGACCTCCATTATTTGAATGTCAGCAGACAGCAAGAAGCCTCCCAGATCTCCAGATGCATTTGAGATATCAAAAAAGTACTCCAGGGTGTTGTTCAGCATGGGGGTGAGTAGAAAATGAAGGCTAATCATGTTTTGGGTGTACTATTCCTTTAATGAAAAGAAGCTCTGAGTCTTTAGTGTCTCCTTGTTAAATAGCAGAGCTCAGTCTGTCTTAGAAGGCAGTGATTTCTTTCAAGACTGAAAATGATTGTTTTCTACTTTCGGCTACTTTAGGTCACTGATGGAACTTTAAATACCTAATATAGGAAATAATAGACTCCAGAAGAGATCTGATTCTTAAGAAACGGGTGCAATACAGATTGTCCGAGGGGAGTTGCCATATATTGACATCATAAGAAAGGGGCGGGGCCCCGAGCAGTTCTAGTACCTACAGCGGCAGGTCAGATGAAGAGGATGGAAGCAGGTGGATAACAAGGGGCCACACCCTGCTGCTGATTCAACCAGCACACCCAGATCTGCTCTCTGGGACCGAGCCTCAGAACCCGGGGCCCTCGCATGCCATGACTCAGACCTAAACAATCACATGCTGCCTGCCTGCACGGCGTTCCTGCAGCCTTACAAAGGACGCAATCATCACTCTTTGAATTCCTCGGCTGCACTGAGGACAGTGGAAAACTACCAACACTGTCCGACACAAACACTCTTTTCCCCGACACGCGGTTTTGTTTTAAGAAGCAGGAAAGGGATACTGGTCGGGACATTCCCAGCCCTCCTTAATGGGATCTGGCTGTTGTGAGTCATCATGCAAAAATTCCTGTCCGGCCACCAATAAACTGTACCGCTCCGATGGAAACCACATGGAAGGCAGAGCATGTCTCCTCGCAGCGATGGTTCACATCTAACGGCTGGCAGCGGGTTTTTTGTTCCTCTGCAGATAAATGCAGAGAGTATTACACACCCAGCAGAGGCACTTTGTTCTGCAGGAGCTCGTAGTAGCTGGTGGTGAGGACTCCCACGGGGTTGCTGGGGACAAAGCGCCCTTCCTTCACCAGCCTCTCACACGTCTTCATCAGCGTACCGGAAAACTGAGACGGGTCCACGCCGTAGTCTCTCCAGCCGCCAACTCCATCAGCAACACCTGAGAAGCAGAGAGTCGTTTGATTAAAAGCTGGAACCGAGATTAAGTTCTTAAAGATATGGTGGAGGATTTTTGCTAATTTTTAATAAAACCCGCCCTCTCCACTTTAACATTCACAACCCTGTACCCGCTCCCGAGAGGGAACGCCTATTAAACGCATGCAAGAGCATGATCCCATTTCTCCTCATGCTCGCTGTTTAAAAGTTGTTGTTTGCATCGCTCATACAAGCTTACTTCCCAGAACAAGATTTACAAATTTTCCCCTTATGTCAGACTCACCAGCAGTAAAGAAAAATGGGGACGAGCCTTACGTTGTAGGACGGCCTTACTTAAACACCAGAATGATTGACAATTAGGAGATCCACTTATTTAGATCATCCACCCGCAAAGAGAACATCCTCCACTATACCTTTAAATCGGGGAAAGGTCAGACCACGAGCAAGATGAACAAACATGAAAAAAAAAAACTAAAACACTCCAGCATGATGCAGCCAGGGGTGGATTTAGGAAATTTTGGGCCCTAGGCAAAGACAGGCAGGGGGCCCTCTGAATTAAGAAGACAACACATAAAACAGACCCATTCTCCAGATAGAGAAATGTTAATAGAATAGACATCCATTATCTGTTCTAGGTTGTGTCCCTCTCTTCTTGTCCCTTTTCTTCTTGTTTTCCTCTCTATGTTTTGTACTCAGCTGACTTTTCATGCTGTCTCTAAAGGAATGAAAGATTTTTTCCAAGCACTAAGCTCACTTAGCTGATTGCTCCTTCCTGTGTTTCCAAAAAGGCCAAAGTAAATAACCCAGTCCTTCTTTTCACTGTAGACAAGCCATGATCTGCTTATCTGTTCTCCATTTTTCATTTGGATGAAATAATAGCTGCATGAATCATGACAGCAGACAAGATAGAGGAGAGCAGGAGGCGGGGTTACCAATCTACTCGCTCTGGAGAGCAGAGTTCGCTGCTTTTTGATGTTGTCTCCAAAGTCTCCAGTAGCAGAAAAAAGTCTCTAGATTTGGCGCTAGGAGCTTTTTAGAAATCAAAGTGCTAGAGGGGTCTGAAAAGTGGCTAAATATAGCGACTAAAGCGCTAAGTTGGCAACACTGCTCTTTGCATGGTTTGTTTTCAAATGGTTTGCTGCTGTCTGTTTGGACCTTTATGAACATGTGCAGCAAATGGACTGATCCAATATGGTGGACATTGTAGGGGGGGGGTGAGACACACTTATTATAATCGTTCTGATGGCATTTTAGCAAAAGGACTTTTAACAAAAACATAATTAATGTGCAAAAATAAGGAATACTTTATTAACTATACATGTAAACAGAGTTTTATGGGGTCCACAGGAACTTGGGGCCCTAGGCAACTGCTTAATGGTAAATCCCCCCCTGGCTGCCACCACCATGTTCCATCACATGGATGGTGTATTCTGGTTGTTAAGTTTTAGGTTGCAACATGCTGACATGTTCAGTTTAGCTCCACTTCAGACAGATGGCTGCTGGTGTTTTATTGCATAAAAATCAGAGAAAAACATTTTCAGGTTTTTGTTTATCATATTTTCCTCAGAAGGAGTCTTTGGATAAGATCCAAGTTTTTCCTAGAAAGGAAGCTTTTTGCCCTTCTACTCCCAGGACGCCAGAATCTGCTCTGCTGCCATACAAGGAGAGTTCACCGCATCCTTCCTTCAGGACTGAGAGCAGCCTGAAGCCTGGAAATGAACAGCCAGGTTTAGAGAGAAGCTGTTCCTGATTGCAGGTTAAATCTGGAAACCTGATCTACTCTGCGGGTGTCAGCAGCACATTCAATCAGATTAGGAGGCTGATTCCCCAAAATACTTAAATGGCAGCTTCTGCTCACAGAATCAGGGTGTCTATGACCCAGAGATGCTCTCATTGATTGATTCGGACAGTCTGGGATGTTCAGCTTATAATCCAAATTTAACTGCGATTAAAAGGACTGAGGACCCCGTCTGTGACCTGCTCTCTTCTTTAATCTGTCAAACACAGATCGGACTCTTACCTAAAACATCGGCGGATCTGTGCCGGGCGATGAAGCACGCGTCGTCCCCATAACACATCCCTTTCTTCAGGATGCCTCTGCGGAAATCTTTGCCGAAGCCGCAGCTCGCCGTCACCAGGCTGTAGTCGCGGCTGTCTGTCTGAGAAAGTCCGCCGATCACAGCTCTGGCAACGAGTCGACCGTAAGACAACACCGACAACATCACCTACGCACCAGCCCCGCGGCAGCCAGCCGACCGGCCGAGCTAGCAGCCCGGCTAGCTTAGCGTCGAACAGAGAACGCGATGTTTGACACGCGAGGGAGGGAAACAAACAGAGGCAGAGCTGCTCTTTTTTAATGGCGTCTCACGGGGATCCGCGTCTTCCTCTCTGGCGGAGCAGCGGGGGTCGGCGGTGAGCGGCCATGCTGTCACTGAGCCTCAGAGACAGTGGAGCGGAGCGGCTGCAGCTGTGGCCTCAGAGCGATCACAAGACTGCACTGACGTCACGCGTTACCAAATCTACGTTTCCTAATAAGGAAACACTGTACTATGGCAGGCCGTAAAGCTGATTTCATGATAAAACGGCCTGCCATACTTTTCCATTTACCGAGCGGAAGGCCAAATGAAGGGAAACTGTCCGAACAGAAAAAGCAGATTAGCTGAAACGATTTCTACGGAAGAAAAAAAAAAGTTTACTGATTTTTTCATTTTATTTCAGTTTAACATGGGGAGAAAAAAGTCAGAATTCTAACTTTTTTCTCAGAACTCTGACTTAAATCTCAGAATTTTGGATCTTAATGTAGATGGGCACCATGAAGGAAGAGATGTGAAAGGAAGAGTTAGAATTCTGACCTTTTTTTCCCATGTTAAACTGAAATAAAATTTAAAAATCAGTTAACTTTTTTTTTCAGTGGCCCTAATCCTCTTCCATAGTTTTCAAATACTTATAAAGTATAATATTTTTTTATTTACCCTCAAAGAATTAGAAAACTGCAGATTATCTGTCTTCTCCTTGCAATTGAATTTGAAAACATTCATTAACAGATCAACCAGGTTACAATTTACAGCCTTTTTATTTTTTCATTTTCAGTTTATTAGTTGTAAGAGGAATAAAAGCTTTGGAAACATAACATTCAACTATCAATTCCCAACCTAAACACACTTAAAAGTTTATTAGAAAGATTTACATGTTACAAGAGTGCTTATTTATTAATCAGTTTAGCACAAGACTTATTCAAAATGTGATGCAGTGTTGTCAATCTATGAAATTATGAGTAACTTAACTGTAAATAAAGTTTACAGAGGTGAACTTGTGTCCATGACTTTCCTTAGAACTTTTATATCCATTAACAAGTACAGGTGAATGAAATGACGAAAGACATGAAATATAACTGGAAAAATTGTGCACAGCTTTAAACAAGGCATTCCTGTGCATAAGTAGCCGTATTATTAATATTATTACATTTTTCCTGATTGAACAGTCATATGTGGCAAAGACTAGCTGCAAAATGGAGTGCAAAACACCTGAGGTTTTCCATGGTGACATATCAATTTACCCCTGTGGATGGTCAAACAATAAAATATTTTTGCTTTCATCAAGTAGGAGTGGATATCTTTTCGGTATTGGCAGCGTGAAAAATAACCAATCCTTTGAACGCAGAGGATGAAAGCAGACAGAGTGCATCTCCGGCCATTCGGTCTCCAGCCCGGCCCCTCACTTCTTGGCTTGTTTGGTGACCATATTGCGGGGGGGAGTGACAGGACGGCTCCCGTTCGGCTTCTTCTTCTCAGCTGGTTTTAAAATCTGCAGAACAAATTAAAAAAAGAAAGTTTTCAGATGCAAATACCTGTAAATATTTCTCCCCGGCTCCTAAACAGCAATAATAAAATAAAGTTTGCATCAAGCCATGCAGACATGAAGTCATCCTGTTTTCTAAGAACTTGGATGCAGGAACGATGTCACGACCAACTTTTTGATTTACGTTTGTGCTAAAAACAACTAGGAAAGAAATAACAACAGATTCACAAAGACCCATTTTAGAGGGGGGGGGGGTTCCCAAAGTAAAGGCTAGGTCACGTCGGTTCGTACGACTTTTTAATCTCCGATACGATTTTTATCCATGTCACACTGACTGCATAGAGAGGCTCCGACTAGGCAATGAGATCTATGTCTAAAGAAGAGAAAAATGCAGCAATAAATGGCGTGGGACGGTTTCTATGGTGTCTGAGGCAGAGAGGTGATTCTCAGAGAGAGATCTGGGAAGTTTATCCAAGTTTTTCTTTCTTTTTTCCATGAAGAGGTGAGAGAGATACGCTGCCCTGACCTGCTCCGTCTGACCCTCCTTATTTTAGTTTCTGTGAGGCTCAAAGAGGATCACTACTTTATGCGTTTTCTGTCCTCCTGAACTCCTATCATGGGGAAAGTTTTCTATTTTAAGTTTCATTAATTGTTTTCGCTCCAGTCTGTCTTAGTTACTATAAACACGATGTGTCCAAACTGACTTATTCTTTGTACGATGAACAGATTTTATTTTGTATTTTCCCTTAAAGCGGATGTGTTTTACTTTGTAACCGCGTCTCTCTTCCTGTCAGACCCATGATATTGCTGCGTAGTCCGAATTAAATAGACCTGGGCTCTATCTCAGGCAGATCTTCTCTGTCCTCTGCAGGAAACCTTCCCCAATTAATGTCAAAGATCGCTAAATACCACAACCTTTTCCAACAGGATTTTCTGTTGGGTCGGACGAAAAATCGAAATCGGTGTGATCTGGCCTTAAAGGAATAGTACACCCAAAACATGATTAGCCTTCATTTTCTACTCACCCCCATGCTGAACAACACTCTGGAGTACTTTTTTGATATCTCAAATGCATCTGGAGATCTGGGAGGCTTCTTGCTGTCTGCTGACATTCAAATAATGGAGGTCTATGGCGCCCGAGGCAGAAAGGTCCATAAAAGTCCACAAAAAACGTGTCAATATTCCTCCATACTGCTCGTCCAATGTATTCCAAGTGTCCTGAGTGGGTAGCATCCATAATTTACTCGAAACGAAGTCATTTGGAATGTTTTTAGAGCATAAACAGTAGTGTATAGGATTTCCTAAAAGCGCGCTCACGACGCTACGGAAGCCGGCAGACCAAACCAGATGAAAGTGTGCATTCAGCGTCTGCTCTGCCAATAATGCAAGCGTAGAAGATGAAATGTGCTGTTTACCTGTGCAAAGAAAGAAACAGCGAAAGAAAAATGTCTGAGGACTTCAGTGTTGAGGAAGAGCATGAGTTCTTTGCCGAGCTGAATGCGCTGGTTTGGTCTGCCGGCTTCCGTAGCGTCGTGAGCGCGCACGTACGCGCTTTCAGGAAATCCTATACACTACTGTTTATGCTCTAAAAACATTCTAAATTACTTCGTTTCGAGTAAATTCTGGATGCTACCCACTCAGGACACTTGGAATACATTGGACGAGCAGTATGGAGGAATATTGACACGTTTTTTGTGGACTTTTATGGACCTTTCTGCCTCGGGCGCCATAGACCTCCATTATTTGAATGTCAGCAGACAACAAGAAGCCTCCCAGATCTCCAGATGCATTTGAGATATCAAAAAAGTACTCCAGAGTGTTGTTCAGCATGGGGGTGAGTAGAAAATGAAGGCTAATCATGTTTTGGGTGTACTATTCCTTTAAGGGTTATGACCCCCTTGGGATCGCAAGAAACTAAGTGGGGTGGGGGGGTGTCACATTAACTATGATGTGACCCCTGAGGTATAGGGAGGCCCAGATATATGACGAAATACATTAATGTTCATTTTGCCAAAAAAATGTAAATGCTACATTTATTTATCTAGAACATTATTACTATACAACAAGAATTACAATTATATAATTAAATCTATTTTTTGATATATTTATTTAGGGGGTTAGTGTTTGTAGTGTGAAGTACTGTTATGTTTCTCAGGAGGAATCCAGTCTGCTAAAATGTTTGGAAATCTGTTTGTGACTGAAAGAAAAACAATCCAACATTTCTAATAAAAGCTGATGACTCCAGATATTAGACTGCACCCATACTGGACTTTGGAATCAGGGTTGATACTTGGACTTCAGGAGACTCTGTTTTTTATTTTTCCAACAAGAGATTCTGAAATTCTTCTTTCAAAGACAAATGTAGGTTAGCTCAACATTAATAAATACTCTACTGCTTAAATAATAGAACTTTTTACTGCTGCAGTCCTGAATTAAGGAAACAATATAACAAATAATGTTTGCTTGAGCAAAAAAAAAAGAGGAAATAAATAAAAATCAGTGTTCTACCTGAAATGAGCACATGAGAGTCTCATCAACGCTCATCATGGCACCAGCGTTGTCGAACTCCCCACAGTAATTGGGCGCTGAGAACAATGTGACGAGCTGCCGCTTTGCAAAAAACTCGTAGCCGTCCTCAACAACCTGCAAGGTAAAAAAAAAAAACCAGTACAGATAAAAATCCCAGACGGTGGGGTTCAGTCGGTAGGATCGGTAAACTGAATTATGTAACACTGTGTTAAATATAGTCCAGTCGTGGATCAGGAAAGCACATAGCACCGTTCATATCATGAAGTTAACTGGAAGCCGCCTTTTTTAAAAGTGTTAAAAACTAATTCGATGAAGATGCATCTTATATCATAGATCTGTCATGATGATTAAATGTAGTGTTGATGTTGCAGAGAACCGTAAAGAATCAATAGGAGCCATTCATTCTGGCTCTTATCCTGCTGATATAGTTAATGAAGCTTTTTCTTCAAGAGCATAAAGGCGTTCGCTAAAATCCTAAAGAAACCTTCAATTTAACTTTAGAATCGATAAATTGTAATTTAAATTCTCTGATGTAGCCAGAAGCAACATTTTAAACTAAAACCATCCTTGTTAAATGCTAATAGGGAATATCTATTTTCCCCAGTACTAGGGCTGCAACAACGAATCGATAAAATCGACTTTTAAAAGCGTTGGCAACGAATTTCATCATCGATTAGTTGTGTCGTGCGATTATTGCGTCATCCGCCGCGCCGTCATCACTGCCTCTTGACTGAAAGAGGAAGAAGAAAAAAATACGGCAGAGCGAGTCAGCGCCGCAGGTGCAGTGTTGCCAACTCAGCGACTTTTCAGACCCCTCCAGCGACTATTTTTCAAAAAAGCGACTAGCGACAAATCTGGCGACTTTTTACGGTGTCACTGGCGGCTTTTGGAGACTCTTACGTGAAAGCATGTATCGTTCCTACTCTGCCGTGGGGCGCCTCCCCCACCCCAACCGTGTTTTCCCGCAGGAGTCCCTCTCTGCGCTGCAGTCAGAGCCGCAGGATGTTTACCCTCAGCGTCCAGACTGCAAATGAAGCGCGCATGCGCCGGGATTGACGGCGCAAATTGATCACAATAATTAAAATAGCCTGCGCTTTGTAAAGCGAAAAAAGTAACATGCAACTTTTGTC